TTCCCTTTTTACTCTATTGGAGAAGTTGTTGGATGTGCATAGGGATTTGATTCTTAGAAGGCCCCATTCACCTATTATTTTATCTTCTCCTGGTTGTAGAAAATTTTTTTAAATAAATTTTTTTTTTACTGGTTTACTTACAAAGTTTGTATGTATTATTTTTCATATCAGATCTTTCCCATTTCCTTTACCCACCCCTCCCTCTACCCATCAAATTGTACAACCCTATGATTACAACCCCCTGCCTATCTTCACCCCTCTGCTCCTACCCTCCCCACTCTTGGATCCTGAAACACATTTTATTAGTTACCATTCTATTTCTCCAATAATGGTCACATACAGTATTTGTCCTTATGGGACAGGTTAGTTCACACAGCATAATGCTCTTCAATCCCTCCCAAATTAGATAATGATTTTCAAAATCATTGCTCCTTCATGCTGTGTATTCCATCACATGAATATTCTATAATTTTCCATGTTCTTGTGATGGGGGACAACACTGCTGTGAATATTGGTATACAAATCTGCATTTGTGCCTCAGTTCTAATTTTTTCAGAGTATATTCCAAGCATGGAATAGCTGGGTCATATGGAATTTCAGTTTTCTGAGGAAATGAAAACTGCCTTCCAGAGTGATTGTACCATTTTACAGTCCCACCAATAGTATATAAGAGTTCCTATCTCTCCACATCCTCCTCCTCTGGGCTAGTTCATCATCTCTTACATGTGGATCTTGAACTATGTTATTATCTAAAGCTTTCTTACTCTGGTATTTAGAGAATTTTCATATGTTTCTTTTTTTGCCTTCCACAAGCCTTTTCCCCCCCTTCCTCAAGCCTTTTTTTTTATTAAATCCTTTTACTTTTATTGTGATTTTAATGGACATTTACAGAAGTTGGATTTTCATTCATTCCTTGTTGCACATTTTCCTCTCAACTCTCCCTACCCCAGTTCACTTTAAAACTAATTTATCCATTGTTGCATAATTTCCTCCTTTTCCCCTGACCCCTTTCATAGTTCACTTTGCTGTGTACCTCTTATTCTGGACTGTTGTCACAGAAATAATTAATGCCCAAGCATATATTCCTTTTAAAGAGTTCTTTCTTTCATCTGTTCCAAGGCAGTATTCATTATTTATCCTCTCTTTTCTTAGTTACTCCCAACCCCCATGTCAGTCCTGTTTTATCACAGTGCTGTTAGACAGTATTTATTCTTTTGTGACTGAGGTATTTCACTCAGTCTTCCAGGATCACACATGTTGTGTAATATTTTTAGTTTTTTGTTTTTCAGTGATGCATAGTATTCCATTTTGTTTTTCTATCCAATCATTTGTTGATGGGCAGTTGGGTTGCTTCCATCTCTTTGCTATTTTAAATAATGCAGCAGTAAACATGGGTGTGCATACATCTGTTTGGATGGTAGCTCTGATTTCTTTAGAATATATTCCTAGTAGTGGAATTGCTAGGTCAAATGGTATTTCTATTTCCAACTTTCTGAGAAAGTGCCAGACTACCTTCCATATGTTTCCTTTTAAAGAACATTTGAGTATGTTTCTTATTAAACGCAGATAACATGAGGCCCCAGCTGAAGTCTCTAAAATTTGTTTTCTTCAAATCGTTCCTGGTATTTATTGCCTACTCTCTGCTCATCCTCTTTGATGCAAAATAAAGGAGACAAACTATACTGTTTCTTCAGTTACATGGAAGAAGTCCTTCCAAGGACATGATACATAGGAGAAGAATTGAACTTCACATGACTCTTTTACAGTTTATCAGCTACTTCTGGCTCATACCTGTACTCCCACAGAAAATGATATTTCTGTACCTCTGTTTATGATGAAAACTTTACCGCTATTGTTAGAGTTACTTGATGCTTGAGCCTAGCTTTACTGTTTTTGTAGCTGTAGTATTTTTTCTGATTGTGTTAGTGTGTGTTTAGTGAAGGATGCCCGTTTCTAATCATGTTACCTTCATTGTTTTATCTGCTCCCTTTTGTCACTCTTTTGTGATGTCTGCTTTCTGTTAATGTTATACATTAACTCTTAGTCCAGGATGACTCCAGTAATGCTAGTTTTATTTTTTCAGAAGATTTTTCTTTTTAGAAAATTGGAGTTTCACTTGCAATTATAGAAAATAATGCAGACAGTTCCTGTGGACTCCATTTCTGCAGTTTTTAGGGTTTTAAGAATATGATATAAATCGAAATTAGACAGTATATAGCATTTTGAAATTGACATTTTTTTCCTGCTTAGCTTAGTATCCTCGAGATTTATCCAGATTATGTGTAATAGTAGTTCATTCCTATTTATTCCTGCATAGTAGTCTGTAGTAGGAAAGTACTACATTGCTTTAACCATTCACCTACTAGCAGATGTTGGTTATTTTTAATTTTAGGCTGTTGTGAATAAAGCTGCTGTGAACATTTGTGTACAGAGTTTTAAGTGGAGTGAATGAGGTGAATGCTCAGAGTGTAGTCACTTGGAGGACAGTTGCTAGGTTGTATTGCACCTGAATGCTTAGTTTAAGAAACTTCCAGAGTCTTTTCTAGAATGACCACATGCTTTTTGATTCCCACCAACAAAGTGTGAGTGATCCAAGGTTTTTGGCATCCTCATCAACATTTGTCATTCCCCCACCCCATATTTTTATATTAGCCATTATGCTAAATATTTCATTGTCATTTTCATTTTCCTAATGGTCAATTTGGAAGCAGGAGTCATAATTGATTCTGGAAATCTTATGAACTGGGATAAATGTTGATAGTTATAGAGGGGCTTCAAGCCTTTTTTGTTCATAAGGTCACTATGAGTCATGCTCGACTCGAAGGCAATCAGCAAGAACAATGGTCAGTAAGTGTTTTCATGTGCTGTTTTTCCACTTCATTTAATTGTCTTTTTATGCCTTTTTCCCATTCTCTAATAGGATCCTTTGCTTTTTTTATTGCTAAGCTCCCATATTTCAACACTAGTCCTTTGTGGAATGTGTATTTTGCAAATCTTATCACCCAGATTGGTAGCTTGTCTTTTCCTCCTCTTAACAGGGCATTTTATAGAGAAAAAGTGATTATTTTCTAGGAAAGTGAATCTATTAACTTTCCCTTTTAGAGATAGATCCTGCACTGAATCTAGGTCCCAATACTTCCTTCCATATGTTTACCCCATCCCCTCATCTA